CACCATCTTCAAAGAGGGCAGGTGGCAGGCCGTCTGATCCAGCTGCCTTGCGGCGTTTCAGGGCTTGGAGTTCCTTTCGGATCTCCGCTTCTGTGGGCGGTCCCGTGGGTACTGGCCAGGGTGCACTTTCAAGAGAACTGCTTGGGGCAGCCAGCGAGGGGGGCTGGTTGAACTGCGATGTGAAGTGCTCCGCCCAGCGTTTCAATCGTCGGTGCAGGCTATTTATTAACGTGCCGTCTACTTCGCAGATTGTTTCACTAACGCTCTGTCTTTTGGGGCCTGTGGCACGGATGAGCGGGAAAAGTTGCCGGGTGTTTCCACACCTAGCCACTGATTCCATCTCCTTTGCACGTAGTGTCCACCAGGCCTCTCTGTCGTCTCACAAACTCTTTGTGAGTTCACGCTTCAGGGGGAGGCGCTGTTTGCTGTGCTCGCAGTCTCTCGGGATTACCCGACGCGCGTCGAGGAGTCCGAGAGAGTTGAAGGAGACCCAGTGGTTTACAACTCAACGGGTTAGGCCACAACTGTGTAAACCGGCTGGGTGCATTGCGTTTCGGATGGTTTTCCAGTGTTGATCTACGCTACTTGGTGGAGTAGAATTTGCCTTGCGGCCAACTCGTTTTGATAATCGGCTAGTACGGGTCAGATAGCTTGACGACGTCGAGCTGTTTGCATCGCATCTTTTTACAGCCACCAAAATGCATAGACAACTTGTCACAAAGAAGTGCGTGATCGGAGTCCAAGCAGGTATACCAATACGAACGGCGGTCTTTCACACATCCTCTCCATCTATAGCTAAAAGCTATATGGTCAGTCTGACTCCACGTCTGTGCCGAAGAGGGGTTACGCCAGGTGGCGAGGTGACGCTTAGACTGTCTGAAGTTCGTGCTAACGAGGAACAGACCGTGTTCTGAGCATATGCTAAGAAGTCTATCCCCATTATCTGAACGACAGCTATCAAGGCCATGACGGCCGCCAAGGTGGGTCTCATCGGGTGCATTTAGGTCTCCGGCCAGGATCACGATATCCGTCTTAGGTGCTTGGAGAAGAAGCTCCTGTAGGTTGTGATAGAAGGCGTCCTTGACTGTATTCGGGCTACAGTCTGTGGGAGCGTATGCAGAAACCACGATTAAGCATCGTTCATTTGTTTTCTGCTTTTTGACCTTACTTGAGCCTCTGAGTCTCACTGCGCATAGTCGGCTGTCTATCAGGATCCAATCCAATAGACCAGTCTCGGGCCTGGCGCTTAAGGCAATACCAACACCTGCTTAACCAGACGCTGGAGCGATAGGGACCCCGGAGAAGGCGCAGTTGAAACGCTTCTTTTGGATTGGAAAGAGACGTTGATCGGATCATTGAGCTCGGATCCTGGATGCGTGTTTCCGAGAGACTACATGCATCAATCTCTAGACTTTCGAGCGTACGAGCCAAACCTACTTGTTGTCCTATGCGCAATAGAGTTCTAACGTTGAATGAAGTCAGTTTGAACGTAGAGTGAGGTCGGAGGAATGGAACGGACGGTCCCGAGACAGATGTCAAGGAGGATAGCGGCGAGCTACAACATGAACCTACGTCAATGGAACCGTTCGGGGTGGGACAAACAGTGGAAAAAGGAGGGGTATTGTGTAGGGCGTGGGTGGAAGTGTTGCGTGCAGATTTTAAGAGGAAGCTTTGCATGGGTGTCAGATTCTGAAACATATGTGAGTGCGTAAGTTCATAAGTTCATGGTTAGTTTGTGGGCGTGATACTACCCGGTTGCCCAGGCCGAGGTAGAGGGT